AGAAATTAATAATTACGTTGATTAGCATAGAAATAAATTTGTTATTTATTGTAATTTGTTATATGTATATTGTGAATTGGTGTAACGTTTACCAATAAATATTTTTATTTGGAATGTGCTTTGTACGATTATTACGATAAAAAATATATTTATGTAGTTAAATGAAACTGTTTATGAGATAAAACACAATTTACTTTTAAATACGTAAAAATACGTAGACATAATATTTTAAATATTTATTATGATTATTAAAAACAATTTAAAGACTTATCTAGGTAGGAAAGCAATGTGCAATAAACAAAACTATTATTGCCTTTTATCTACAAGTATTGCACACTTAGTCAAAATAATATAATATATTATCACATATATTATATTATAAGAAATATGTTTTTCTTTCAATAGATATTCACAGTTTTTGTATAGACAGTATAGTATTATAGAATACTATATCCTTTTCCTCGCACTGCACTTTTTGTCTAAAGGTTTTCTCAATTTCTACGCCTTCTACAAATTATGATTATGCTCAGCAACTACACATAAGTATATCTCTAGTTACGAGATGAACACGTGAAATATTGTGAAGTTATGAAGAAACTTATAGTGTATAATTTGGCATGTTGGCGATGTACATATTGTGCACAAGACACTATACCTCCCTTCTTATTAGCGTAAACGTTCCTTTTTGTGACTTATTCCTGTGTTCGTAAAGTTTTGGAACGAAACGAAACACTGTTATCAATTGGAAATAGCATTTGTAATATTTAATGCATTCTTCGGCGAAGCAGTCAGGTTGTTGCACTCATATCGCGGACATGCGTGATGGATAGTTTTCGCATCAGTATGGCAAGCGAGGTGAGTTCTTCGCATTAGTCTTCGGCATGGACATTTCCAAACATTCAGGGCACAAAGGTAATAGACATACGTATTTTTCTTTACAAGTAAAAGTGAGTTTTCTAAATATGTTATGGATTATTGTAATCGCTACATTGAAATAATTACTCATATTCAATAGGCCGGAAATGCATATGAGTTTACTTCGCGAGTGTGATGTGTGCTAATAAGGGTATACTTGAATATTGCTATGAAATTGTTATACCTTTCTTATTTTCTATCGTAATTTTTAATTATTATTAAAGCTATGTAAATTTTCTCTTAATACATAACTTTAATGTGTCACTAGATTTTACATGGGCGATTGAATTAAATCGCTTGGGTTTAGAACTGGTCGGATTATGGCCCAAGAGCAGTGAGGTGTCTAAGAATATGTTCGCTTCCGATCTTCGCGTGGTCATTATCTTCGTTATAGTGGGATTTGTCTCTGGTGTACCTCTCGCATGCTCCCTTATACGAGTGTGGGGAGACATGATACTTATGGTAGATAATCTTGAGGTTACTTTACCTCTACTAGTGGTCCTGTTAAAACTTGTTATTATGCGATGGAAACAAACAGGTATGGATATAATTATTTGCATATGTGGCACGAAAATATCAAGGACGTATATATTTAATTACACAAAATGTATAAAGTTTAAGTGTACTTAAAGGTACTCGCCTTATCTTTGAAACGTGGAACGATATGGGATGATCCTGTAAATGATTATTTTCCTATATTTCGAAGCACTTTCAGCCATTATAAAAATGATGGCAGAAGACTGGATGAAGTTGAAGACAACAAAAGAGAGGGATATAATGGTGGAGCGAGCACAGATTGCTAGAATGATTGTCATTAGCGGATACGTTCTAATGGTATTGGCGTTCACAGTGATCATCGTTCTTCCGTATTTTGGCTCAACGTTAAGGCATTTAACGAATCTCACGGATCCGGGCAAGCCGTTGCCGCTGCAGACTTATTATTTTTACGACATAGATAAGAGCCCGCAATTTGAACTAACATACATCGTTCAAGCTATTACAATTGTCTTGGCCGCTGTAACTTACACCTCAGTAGATGCTTTTCTTGGTCTCGTAATCCTTCACTTCAGTGGTCAACTGGAAACTTTCAAAGGCCGTATAGCTAATTTGATTTCGTGCCAAGATTTCATCTACATTCTGAGTAATACCATAGTGAATCATATGCGGCTCATCAGGTATCTGCACATACACACATAAATATTTCTATTTGCATTTCTTCTCGATATGATTACACATAATTACAAATAAAATGTAGAAAGATTCTATACAGAAAATTTATTTAACAATTTATTGATAAAAGTAATTTAATAATTAGACAGCCTAACAACTCTCTTTTCTATTATGACTAATAAAGAAAAATAAAAAGCCTTTTTACACAACATTATTAATATGATTTTACACATTTTTTATTTATTGTGAGAAATTTAATTTTTTCAACATATATTATAGATTCGCCAATATTATTGAAAATATCTTCTCTTTAATGATGTTGAGTTTAGTATTTAATTTTGGTATTGTATTTTGTCTGCATGGATTCTTATTGCTTACTGTAAGTTTAAATATGTAGATTATATCTTCTTAGAAAATATCTTTAATTTTTCTTTATTTTAAAATATGTAGATTGTTATACCGGCATTAACTAATTTTTATTAATTAGCAAAATATGTTGTTCAGGTGATTACCGAAGAGAGTGATCTTTCTTTCGCACGGTTATGTTTTCCGTTAGTTAGTATCACTATTTTGCTTACGCATACTTTCCTTTATTATGGTGCCGGAGAGTTCATAACGATACAAGTAAGTTACAAACTTAATTCTTTTTAATTTCATATCATAACAGTAATTTAATTTTTAATTAAATTTTTTAACAGTATATGTCATATTAACACAATATATTATACATCAATATATTATTCTATGTATATGTGCATGTTAAGTGCGATGGAGTATATCGTGCTCTGTGCGATCTTGAATGGTACAAACTAGAACCAAAATACGCAAGGACATTTATCTTATTAATGAGACGAACTAGTCAACCTTTCCGCATTACTGCAGGAAAAGTATTTCCACTTACGATGACCACATTTTGCAGTGTAAGATTATCAATTTATTTCAAATTTATAAATGACTTTTGTTTTTAAACTGAATATTCCCATTGCTTTTCTTTTCTAACAGATAATGAAAATGGAAAAAATATCCTTAATTTAATTTAATTTTAAACTGTTTCCATGTTGTTGTAGAATACGCTATATATTATACTTACATAATCATTAAAAGATAAATTTTAAATTATAATAATAAAACAATTAGACAAATACATCTTTTTTATCATATGTAGAAAAAATTAAATCCTTTTAATTTTGTAAATCATTAATTGCATATTTATCAGTACAAAATTTTATTTCTATTATCTGTTTACATAGAAAATATGTTACAGTTGTTGAAAACATCGGCTGGCTACATATCATTTCTATTGGCAAACCGAAGATGAAAACGAAATGCAAAAATCACGCTAGTACAATATTTATAATAAAAGATTTAAGAAAGAAGTAGATCTAATAGCCTTTCAATTTAATAATTACAAATATGACAGACATAAATTAATGGAAATAAAATAAATTATGTTATTTTACTCAATGTTTGTTATTTTATGTAATATATTTTATATCGAAAATGTATACACCAAAATATTATTAGGCATTAAGATCCAATCCAACCGTAGAAGGCGTTGCTATTATTTGTGTTATACATAATGTGTTTTTAATTTAGATTTCTTAGAGTTTAATTTGGTCAAGAAATGATGTATTTTGTAATACGAACCACACATTTTATTTCGTAAAAACTCAACATTTTTTCAATAACGCAGCTATTATGAATATATCTTTTCGTATAAGTACGAATGGAATAAGCGACGTGAACAAAAGTGTGGTGCATTCTATAAAATCTATTAGCTACAGCAAAGTTGTATGAAAACTACTGCGGAAGCGTGAGAATATAACGGGTGTATATAAACGCCTTTTTTTGCCAGCGTGACAGATAGCTACCTGTTATTACAAACTTCTTTATTCCTAAATGTCTTGCACAATATGCGGTGCTGAAAACTTGAGGGAAATATAAAACGAGGATCGCATAATATGAAATATTTAAAACACTTCGGTGTAAGTATATCAATACTTTTGAGAACTATAATTGAGAACATGCGCGAGCAATACTTCTTACTACATAGAAGATAACGTTGTTTCATGAAAAAGCAATTAACAGCTGTCAGTCTGTAAATAATATTCGTCATGGATGATTCCAAATATACCGGATATCAAGGTGCTCGCAGTTAAAACTGTTGTACCTGTAATTTGAAAGAAAAAAATGTATTTATCAAGTGCATATGTGCAAAGAGTAGTGGTATTTTTAATGTTATTATTATTAAACTTTTTAAATTTCTTTTTACACAATGTATTAGATGATTGTAACAAAAAATTAGATATATCTAAGGACTGTTCTACGTGTTATTTAAAGCAGTATAATATATATAGATAAATATAGATTACAAAAAGCATTAATTTACCCACATGGTATTCTAATTTATTCTCTTCTCCTTAGAAAAAGAATAAAGGGTAAAATGTTACCTGACTTTTAGAACAATTCACCCTTAATCAGAGTAAATTAGAAATAATGAAAAATTAGTACCTTTGTAATCTATATTTATTATTTTTAATAATATGGATTATGAAAATAATATTTGAACTTGTGTATGTAATGAGAAAATACGTTGTGTATTGAGAAAATATGTTTTGCTCTCATTGTGACTTTATTTATGTACATATATCTATGATGTAATGTTTTCAAAGAACGAACCAATTTAGTGACATTTTTATAGGTAGATTTCGAATGGGCGGTGAAACTGAATCGTATCGCTTTAGATTTAATTGGACTTTGGCCAAAAATCGTACAGAACCAACGGCAGAAGATAATGTATAATTTTCGGGTGTTCATCGTATTTCTGGGGGTAACGTGCGGCGTTATGATTCCTTGTGTACATTCACTAATACGAATTTCAGGAGATATCATGCTAATGTTAGATAATTTACATTATACTTTACCGGCCACAAGCTGTTCGATAAGAATCATAATTTTTTGGTGGAAAAAAGAAGGTAGACATAATTATAAAAGCCATGTTGCTAAGTTATAAAATGTGATAAAAATATACCTACAAATTAAACAAAATAATTTTATTCATTTAAATAATGTAAGAGATCTATTTCAATTGTGACTACTTTGCATTAAAAATATCACATTACAAAGTTCATTTTTATTACTTATTTATATAATATTTTTAATGTAAGAAATACATTAAAAGTTATATTTATTTCTTTTTGTTTAAAATTTTTTTATTATTTAGTTACCATAGGTTTTACCATTGAAATTTAGCTGTACTGTTTAATTCGCACATAAATATTTAATATTGACACTTTTAAAGCTATCATACCGATCATGAATATGATCGCGGAAGATTGGATAATATCGAAAAGTGCTGAAGATAGAAACATTATGATTAGATATGCGCAGAATGCACGCATTATTATTATTTGCGCCTTCTGCATAATGGGAGTGGCGTGCATCTTTAATATCATTCTCCCGGGTTTTGGAATATCAGTGAGATTGACGTCAAATATTACTGATCCAGGCAAACCAATGCCTCTGCAAACGTATTATATTTATGATATAACAAAAAGGCCTCAATACGAATTAACGTTTATTAGTCAAGCTATTTGCATAGTGATTTCAATCCTGTCTTATTCTGGAATCGACAATTTTCTCGGATTACTAATCTTCCATATATGCGGCCAATTGGACATTCTTAAAAATCGTTTGACACATCTGGATACATATATCAATTCTCATGACATGCTAAAAAGCTGTATCATGAAACACATACGTTTACTTAGGTTTGACATTTAAATAAACTTATATAAATAATTTCCATGATTTAAGTGTATGTAATCAAGTATATCTAATAGATATGTTTTACAGGGCAATTGAGATTGTTGAAGATACGTATAACGTAATACTTCTAGCTTTATTTATATACTTTGCAATTCTTTTTGCTTTCTTCGGTTTCCGGATAATTAGCGTGAGTGTGTACATGTTTACAAATAAAAATTTGTTTATTAATAAATTTTTTAACAAAAAACGTATTAAAAGTTATTAAAAGTGCTACAATAACTAAATTGGTATTAATTGTTTCTATTTATAATATGTTTCATGATAAAGCTCTAAAATAATTTGAAATATTAAAAGTTGCATTCTTTTTACGTATGTTATTAATTAATTAGCTATTCGATGAAGGGAATGATTTATCACTCACACGCTTGATATATTTTGTATCTATGCTTTTTAATTTATTTGGAAATATGTGTGTATATTGTGCTCTGGGCGAATTTTTGATGTCCCAAGTAAGTTGTATTCTCCTACTTTTATACATCACTTAAGTTATATGTTTCGTATTAGAATTTACTACAATATCATTTATTTAAAAAAAAGTTAATGTTAATGCATAAGAAGTTCACAATATTTGTCATTTCTAAACACATAGCAAAAAGAAATATTAAAATATAATACAGAAATACGTATATTAATAATAATTTAATATTATTCATATTAGACAATTAAATTAAATAGGTTAAAACTTTAACATAAGCTTTTACAAAATAAAAATGAGTTATTTATTAATTTATACTTTCAATGAAAATACTATTTGTTTCATAATTAATGGCTAAATTAAATGTACTACAATGTAATACATGCAATTTTTATCTAAAAAATTTATAATACATGTTAGTGTGATGAAATGTATTATGCGGCCTACAGTAATGAATGGTATTACATGGATCCAGAAATTACACGAAACTTATTATTTTTACTAGTAAGAGGCACTAAACCAATTTACCTCACCGCTGGAAAAATGTTTCCTATGACAATGACCACATTTTGCAATGTAAGATACTTTAGTGTTTAATATTATATTTACTCCGCTAAAAGTATTTTAATAATATTGCAATATTAATAATATTTTTGTATAATACTCCACATTAATAAATTTATAATGTATATCTATTTTATTGCACTTGTGTGTGTGTGTGTGTGTTCGCGCGCGCGCACTTTTTGTATATTTATACATACGTATCTCGTCTTATATGTATACATATATCTTTGTGTGATTAATAACATTAATTTATTATAATATTAATTGCTATTTTTCAGTTAACAAAAACATCAGTTGGATATATATCTGTTTTATATACAACAAGAAGTTAGTAGAAAAATGAGATAAAGTGGAAGTTTTTCTAGTAAAAGTGCTATTTCAATAGAACGTTATAAAGTAAGAATAATATTTTGTAAATGTTAAAATGTTATGGACAAATAAATTATAGATTCTACTGCAAGTTTTGACAGAAATGTTGAGAATTTAATTAGATAATTAGATGCAATATTTCTGATCCATGCAGACCAATGCCTCTACAAAGGTACTGTATTTAACAAACGCACGATATAACGAAAAGACTGCAGTACAAACGTTTATTAATCAAACAGTTTACATTCTTATAATTTTTGTCTCTTAAAACAGTAATATTTAATAATTACAACATGAATATTTGGGTTATTCGAGTCACCATCTGCTAGTTTTAATTATAATATTGGTTAGTGATATTTCTCACGCTTTTAATCACGACGTATCAATCTCAAAAAACGAAACATTTTTTAACGCTTAATTTTTGCGAAATTATTTACTCAGAAAAATAAAACCCGTATATGTCGGAATCTATGTAGTAATGAATCTATTGCTAACACAAGTGTAGTGATGTTATAAGCTATAACTGATCGCAAAAACGTGTGAATAAAACGCATGTGCCTACGGGCATTCATTTTACGACATAACTTTTTACGACCTGCTATTACGAAAATTTTTTACTACTTCGCACAATGTTTAGCGCTGGAAACTTGAAACGAAGGGAGATAGAATATTTAAAACTCTTTGTTACAAGTTGATCGTTCGATACTTTGGAGAAATAGCATAAAGAGCATGCGCGCAAAACGACTTCTGATGAATACGAGATAATGTTATATTCTGGAAAAGAAACAGATGCCAGTCTTTAGACAACATTCGGCATGAACAGTTCGAAATTCAACGCGTACCAAGGTGCTTATTATTGTGATTATTGTGGAAATTTATTTATATTAAGAATAACAAGGGTTGATGACATTTAATTTGCATTTTATTTTGTTGCTGTTAATACAAGTATTGCATCATTTAAATATTATTATTATGCATTAACATATGTAATTATTGTAAGAAACATTAATCATTTATCACGGATATTTAAATAAGGGCACTTGTATTGTTTGTAATTTACTATTTCTTAAATAACTCTTGAATTATATAATTTTTACTCATCATATTAAATATATTGTTTTGCACGGTTTGCATTGTTTGTTAACTTAAATGTACGAGTATGCTTAAGATCTTATGATATAATTTTATCATATATTTTCATGAGCTACGAATTAACTGAGGCTTCTACAGGTAGATTTCGAATGGGCGGTGATACTGAATCGTATGGCTTTAGATTTTATTGGACTTTGGCCAAAAACCGTACAGAGCCATCGACAGAAGTTAATGTGTAACTGTCGGGTACTTATCGTATTTCTTGGGGTAATGTTTGCTATTCTGGTTCCTGCTATACATTCATTACTAAGAATTTCGGGCGATATCATGCTAATGCTAGACAATTTACAATTTACTTTACCGGGCATAAGCTGCTCGATAAGAATCATAATTTTTTGGTGGAAAAAAGAAGGTAAACACAATTATAACGCCATATCGTTAAGTTTTAAAATGTGATAAATAGTATATTTACATCAAATAATTTTATTTATTTAAATTGTGTATGAGATCTATTTAAATTACGATTACTGTGCATTAAAAATCTTAGATTACAAAATTTATTTTTATTACTTATATGTATAGTAAGTTCACTATAAAAAATGCAATAAAAGTAATATTAATATTTCTGCAACTTTTAAATTTGTGCTCAGTTAACATAATTTTTATTTAAATTTAGCTATACTATTACATGCAAATTTGAATATCTAAATAATTAAATATTTAATATATTAATACTTTTAAAGCTATCATACCGATCATGAATATGATGGCGGAGGATTGGCTAAAATCGAAAAGTGTTGAAGACAGAAACATTATGATTAGACAGGCGAAGAATGCACGCATTATCATTACTTGCGCCTACTGCATAATGGGTGTAGCCTGTTTCTTTATTATCCTTCTCCCGGGTTTTGGGATATCAATGAGATTGACGCCTAATATTACAGACCCAGGCAGACCAATGCCTCTACAAACGTATTATATTTACGATATAACAAAAAGGCCACAGTACGAACTAACATTTATTAGTCAAGCTATCTTCATAGTTCTTTCAATGATGTCTTATTCTGGAATCGACAATTTTCTTGGGTTATTAATCTTCCATATATGCGGCCAATTGGACATTCTTAAAAATCGTCTGACATATCTGCACACATATATCGATTCTCATAATATGCTAAAGAGCTGTGTGATGAAGCATATTCGTTTACTTAGGTTTGATATTTTTATGAATTCGCATAAATATTGTGCACGAAATATGTGTGCTAATGAAATGTCTGTAACACAAAAGTTATGGTTTACAGAGCCATTGAGATTATTGAAGATACGTATAACGTAACACTTCTAATTTTATTTGTATACTTTGCAGTTCTCTTCTCTTTCTACGGTTTTCGTATAACTAACGTAAGTATTCAAATATAAATAAAAATTTATCAAATCAAATGTATTGCATATTACAAAATTTCCATATAATATCTACTTTTATAAATATTATAATCATTAAAAGTATTATTAATACATATACATACACTATAAATTACGTAGCTCTTTGATGAAGGAAATGATCTATCCATTACTCAATTAATATATTTAATATCTAACGTTTTCAATATATTTGCGCATATGTGCTTGTATTGTGCCATTGGTGAGATTTTGACAGCACGGGTAAGTTTTACTTAAAAACGCGCGCATAAATTATATGTTATATAACTAATGTTAAATAATTCAATTGAAAAAATTTTGACGAATAATGTTCTATTATTTAATGCACGTAGCAAAATGTAATAATAATTTCTTTTTAGAGTGTATGATAATAAGTAAAACACTCTAAGTGAATAGGTAGAGTAGCTTAGACTGTGTTTAAAAATCCTGTGTCGGTTTGCATTATGAATAAATAATGAGTTACTCATTAATAAAGGTCTGCAAATTAGCGTGCGTCCGCACGAGAAAAGACCACTTAATGTTTACACATATATTGTTATACGACGAGGCATTGAGAGATGCATTTTGTAAAAAGACAAAATTCTGTAAAAACATTATAAGAACATTTAATGAATAAAATTTTAATACGTTGCAATAACATACAAACAATGTTTTAATGCAAATATTACTAGAAAATGTTCCAAAGATATTTTATTTTATTTATATTTCAAGATATTTGATCTTATTTCGTATTATTCGATACGATTATGAAAATTTGTCATAAAACAATTTTAATATATTTAGAATTTTTCTTTTATCAATTATTTTAAAACTCTTTCATTTGACGTCTGCTTTCGTCCAATATACTTATACACGATGCATATTAACTTATGATAACACTGAATGCATACAATCATAATCAGTAATTATAATATTCTTGATATTTTTAAGTGTAGTGAAATATATTATGCAGCATACAGTAACGAATGGTTTTCTGTGGACTCAAAAATTACGAAGAATTTGTTGTACCTGCTGCTAAGAGGCTCTAAACCAGTGTATCTTACTGCTGGGAAAGTGTTTCCTATGACAATGGCTACATTTTGCGGGGTAAAATATTTGAATATCTGAATATAATTGTTGTATTTAATAATTATAACACAAATCTCACATGAATTAATTTCTACATAATTGCAACAATTTTATATAATTTATATATTTTATGTTAATGCACTTATGTGTAGAATATTAAACATTATAATTATGGTATGTTATTAATTGTATTACTTTTAATAAACATATATTTTTTAGTTACTGAAAACATCAGTTGGTTATATATCAGTTTTGCATACAACAAACAGTAAATAAAGAAGATAAAAGTGTGAACATTTTTCAATCTTATACAACGTTTAATAGAACATAGTTTATAAATTGTGCAAATAGTTATTGTTACTTACAAATAAAATGTAAATCTTACTCTGGAGATGGAATATGATACGGATTTTATTAGACAGAAATAAAAATTTTGATTAAAATCTAAATCCATAAAAATATACTTTTTACAATACTCAAAACTAATTTATTTTAAATTCCTTATCTACTGTGTTCTTTGTCCAGTATTACTTAACAGCACACGTACAGAATAAAAATACTATTCATTGAATAATTGATAAATGAAATTAAAGTATGTACAGTTTTTATATTTCTCAACTACTTTTCCATTTTATGCATTGTGATTATACAGGGTGCTACGCAACATATTGACCACCGGTCAGAATTAATTACAGACATGCTTCTGTACTATTTAACCTCCTCTACATAGTAATCATACAAATTAATCATCATGCGTGCATGGGAATATGTCACATGTATGCCATTGTATTATTGCTCATCTGATATTATATTACGTTCACATATTGTCGATGATTACTTGGGACAATGAAGATAATGAGAATTTAATCCCTACATATCAATATTTAAAATCGAAAATTTTCGGCAAAAATATTTACCTGGGAAAGACCGTAAGGACGTACAACGTTCGAATCTACGTAGTCTATCGCTAATATATGTGTAGTGGTGTTATAAGCTATAACTGATTGTAAAAACGTGTGACTATAACGGATGTGCCAATGGACATTCTTCGTCTCACGTGATGCAACAACCTGTTATTATGAAAATTTTTTTATTACTTCGCGTGATGTTTTGCGCTGAAAACTTGAAACGGAGGGAGGCAGAATATTAAAAACTCTTTGTAACAAGTTGATCGTACGATACTTTTGAGAAATAGCATGCGCGCGAAACAACTTCTGAATACGAAATAATGTTAATTTCTGGAAAAGAAGCAGATGCCAGTCTTTGAATAACATTCGACATGAATAGATCGAAATATACCACACACCAAGGTGCTTATTACTATGATTGTTGTGACTGCAAAGGATAGTTACTTTATGAAATATACATTTATTTATGATAAAGAAAGATAGTGACATTTAATCCACTTTACGTTTTGTTGCTGTTAATAGAAGTTTTATATCATATTTTGAATCTTGAGTATTAACATATTTAATTATTGTAACAAATATTAGCATTTATTATTATAACGTATTTGAAATGGAAGACTTTATTGTCAATTATTTACTATTTCTTAAGTAAATTTTGAATTGTTATTATTAACAAAAAATTAGTTTTGTTAAACATTCTCTATTTTACACTCTAGTTATTTTAATTGTTATTTGTAGTTTATTGTATACGTTTATTGTATATGTTTAAAATTCTATTGATACTTTTCATAAACTGTGACTTACTGAGGTTTCTACAGGTAGATTTCGAATGGGCGATGAAATTGAATCGTATCACTTTAGAATTTATTGGGCTTTGGCCCAAAACCATAGAGAACTCTCGACAGAAGTTAATGTGCAATTTACGAGTACTTGTCGTTTTTCTTGCGCTAACATTCGGCATTCTGATTCCTTGTATACATTCCTTTATAAGAATTTATGGAGATGTCATGCTAATGATTGATAATTTACAAGCTACTTCAGCAGCTTTAAGTTCCACGATAAGAATCACGATTTTTTGGTGGAAGATAGAAGGTAGGCAATTATGTGCTATAATTCAGAATCCCACAATGTGATAAATGAACGTTTGTTTGTATAAATATATTTATAACTATATCTATTTATAATAATTTCTAATTAAAAAATATTTATATTTTCATATCAGTAAAATTAATTTACAAATATACTCATAGGTATCAAGTATGTACTATTGTAAGACATATGAGCTAATTCATATATAAAAGAATTTATTCCTAACGGCGACCATTTACATTACAAGTTTATAGTTATTGAAGGAAAATTTCATATTATAAAACTTTCAAAGAATTTAAAGGACTCAGAGCCGTGACAGGGTGGTAGTGTCTAAATATTCTATTCTAAATTTATTGCGAAAAAATATTACCCTGGTGATATTTTTTCGCAATAAATTTAGAATAGAATATTTAGACACTACCACCCTGTCACGGCTCTGAGTCCTTTAAATTCTTTGAAATTTGTGTTTAACACATACGAGCCATACTAATTTATTATAAAACTTTGTTTTAATTACTTATTTATACATATACCATTTTTAACTATAATAAAATATAATTAATTTCTTTATAACTTTATTAATATTTTAGCTCTTATTAAATGTTTTATTACTTACAATTTCAACTTGACATAATTTATATTTCAATGTTGTTAAGTGGACATTCAAATGTACAATATTGACAATTTTGAAGGTATCATACCAATCATAGATATGATTGCGGAGGATTGGGGAAGACCGAAAGATGCACAAGAGAGGAATATAATGATCAGAAGGGCACAGAGTGCACGCTTAATTATTATGTCCGCATATTCCATCATGGCATTAGGATGCGTCTTTCTTTTTATTCTTCCCGCATTTGGAGTCTCGATAAGATTGAGGTCCAATATTACTGATCCAGGCAGACCTTTGCCTCTACAATCATATTATATGTACGATATAACTAAAAGCCCGCAATACGAACTAACATTTATTAGTCAAGCAATCTGCATAGTTCTCTCAGTCATGTGTTATTCTGGAATCGACAATTTTCTCGGGTTACTAATCTTCCATATATGCGGTCAATTGGACATTCTTAAAAATCGTTTGACACGTTTGGATAAATATATCAAAACAAATGATATGTTGAAGAGCTGCGTGATAAAACACAGTCGTTTAATTAGGTTTGATGTTGATATGAATTCATTTAAACAATTTCTAAAAGTATATTAATCATATGTATCTAATACAAGATATATGTTTTGCAGAGCTATTGAGGTTATTGAAGATACGTATAGCATAATACTTCTGGCATTATTTGTATACTTCTCAATACTTTTCGCCCTCTGTGGTGTCCGGATAATTGCAGTGAGTATAGAATTACTTATTAATAAATTTTTACTGAAAAATAAATATTGTAAGTTATTAAAGGAATAACATCTAAATTGTGTGTTATTCTTGTGCTGTTTATAGTTTATATGATGCATTATTAAAAATATTATCTAAAATAATTTTAATTATGAATTATTACATATTCTTATATACTTTCTAAATCATTAGCTATTCGACGAAGGAAATGATTTCTCACTCGCAAGTTTGGTATTCTTTGTATGCATGGTTTTCAATATATTTGGACATATGTGTTTATACTGTGCTCTAGGCGAATTTTTGGTGGCTAAAGTAAGTTATATTCTTTATATCACACGTGCACGGAAAAGTGCCTCTTTTTTGACAGTTTTTCGTGCCCAAAATAGACATTTGCTGACACAATACAGTTTGCACGCAACATGGCGTCAACTGTGCGGAAAAAGCCGTGCGGTAAAATTATTACCGCACACTTTAGCGCTGTTTTTGTTTATCTCCCAGCACAATTGCCAATCTCTCTTCCACACGCCGTCTTCGACAGATGACAGGTTAGCCTCAAAGTTTTTACACGTAACTGTCAAAAAAGAGGTACTTTTCCGTGCACTTATAATATAAAATAGTATGTGATACATGTGCGGGAGATTGGCTATTGGCCACTCGTGCGGCCACCCGCTACTCGTGGCCAATAGCCAATTTCCCGCACATGTATCACAATATACTATTATTCTTATGCAAACATAATAAAAATCATATATGCTCTATTTTGCATTATAGTCATATTTATTATATGATTTATATGACATTTAAGAAAGATGTTAAATCACCATTCAATATGTATCATGCTTGAACAGTGAATAGCAAAAGTAAAAGTAGTGAAATATCTTATAGAAATATGTTGATAATGATTTAATGTTATAATACATGATACAATTTAAATGAGAATATAAATTTCTTTAAAATCGGTAGTTAAATTAATTTTCTTATTGATCAATATATATAATTTTATAATTATGACGATCATAAATACGTTTTAGTGCGATGAAATGTATTATGCGGCCTACAATAATGGATGGTATTCCGTCGATCCAAAACTTGCACTAGACTTGTTGTTTGTGTTGATAAGAGGAACCAAACCGATTTATCTTACGGCTGGAAAAATGTTCCCCATAACAATGACCACATTTTGCAATGTAAGGTATTTTATTGTGCTAAGCTAAAGCATTTGAATGACATCGTAATTTAAATATTTTCCAAACATTAATTCACTTTCCACTATTTTAATAATTTAGAAATAATTTATTGTATCTACATATACATACGTATACAGGGTGTGTCCTAACCCGTATGTCCCGTAGATGGTAGATAGACCGGAGCAAACTGAATAGAAAAGTCCTATACCATTTTGCAAAATTTGTAATAGTTATCGAGAAATTAATTTTAATGTCTGAGCGAATGAGAGCGTAGAAGGCTGCAGGCCGGACTCGGCAAGCAACGGTGGGGCATCATCTAATAGCGAGAGGTGGAGCGGCGCGCCGAAAAAAAGTTGTCACGCAGCAAGCGGCGAGCTTCAGTATACACTCCCCGCTCGCCACTCGCTGCGTGACAACTTTTTTTCGGTG